TTTCTAGTTCGAGTGCTCGTTCTGCGAAAGAGCGCTTCAAAGCAGCGACCTCGAGCTTTCTTGCTCCTGGCATTGGCCGTAGTTCGTCTGCTCTTTGCGCTCCTTGAGCGTTTATTTACCCGCCTAATGCGCCCAGGTGCTTTTGTTTTCCCCTGACCTGAACTAATGACGGTACGTCTATGTTTGACTGGCACGCCCTTCGTAGGGATTCCACGCGCCAAAGACGTACTTTGCCTCTCTCGATCGCCGTATTCAGCCTTCCAGCGCGTATCACCTAAGGAAAAAATGCCGAGACACTGGGGTGCGGTATGCGATATTTTACGAAAGAAAACTACTGCGCATGCTCGGAAAGTGTTTCACAGCCCAGCAGATAATGAGCGATTATTGAATTGGCTATAGACTAAGTCAACTCCCTGACGTCTCGCCACTGCGTTGTCGCTGCTATCGGCACTGCGCCTCGGGCGGTTTTTCTCCACACGTGCAGTGCTCACACCCGGTGACGCGGCTCGTCGGGAAACAGTAAGTTGGTCGACACTACACACAGCGAATAAGGAAAGCTTTAAAGTAATGACGTTGCAGTCATCTTGCTTCTCAAGATCGTCGTTGCCAGTTGTCCGAAGCGTTAACTGGAATTACAGAAAAGGGTTTTCCGCCCTCCAGAAATGCTAGGATGGCCTCCGAGAGAGAAAAAACGGGTACAGCTGAGCTCGGGAAGTCGCAGCTTTCAGTCCTATCTATCGCCAGTGGCGGCGCCACTGCGATAGAACGGACTAGAAATTGCGCCACGATCTTACGGCGCCGCCATAAAATGGCGGCGCCACAAAGGCAATGGGAGAATGAAATGTCAATAGCGTAAGCTTATTAGGGACGAAGCTCCTTAGGGTCTAGCCTTGTCCGTCCGGCGTCCCTGCTCATATCGATCTTGCTGGTGCTCGTGCTAGTGCTCCTGCTCGTGAGCTCATGTGCCCACGTACTCACGAGCCCGTGAGCACGTGCCCACGTACTCACGAGCCCGTGAGCACGTGCCCACGTGCTCGTGTAGGGCAAAAAAAAAAGTTTGTGCAGTCGTCAGGATTCGAACCTGTGCGGGGAGCACGGTGTAAGATACACTCTTTAGGTGAGGGCACGGCGGGGCTGAACGCGCGTCGCGAGGAATCAGATAGTGTTCGTTCGACGGGCATCCGAAAGGCTGCATTATTCCGCGGCCACCGTGCCCGCGGCTGACAGTGTCGCCGGCGGCCAAACGGGGAAACTGCGTGAGAGCGAAAACAAATTGTCACGTTGCCATGACAGCCCGGTACACCATGGTCTTTCTGCACCAGCGACAACCTCGCTGGAGCTCTACGCGTGTGGAGCATGAGGCGGCACGAGCCGTCTTTGCCGTGCCCACGGGTCGACGAGTCGTCTGCCGGCGCCGCTTGAAACCATAGTGAGAGAGAGAAAGAGAGAGAGTGAAAAGCGAACTTTATCTGCACTGCGCGAGGAGCGCGCTGTCCTCATCTGAAGAGTATTATTATCTTACACCGTGGCGGGGAGGCACCAATGGATTTCTAGTCCATCGCCTTAACCACTTGGCCATGACTGCGGGACGAGTAGGGGGTTCTTAGATGTGGTAGTAACTCAAGAGCTGGGGATGTCATGGATGAAACGTTGCATGTAGCCGCTCACCGTCTACACAGGAGAGGACGCTGCGGTCAAATGCGTATATAATCGCTTTAAACTTTGCATGCATTGGCTCAACATTCATAGACGAGAGGGCGCTGCGGTCAAATGCTCAAATGTATATATAACCACGTTCCATACCACACATTCTCTCTCTGACATGGAAGAAAACGAACGAAAGGCTCGGCATGCTGCGGCTCAGCGTCTACGCAGACAAGCACCACCAGAGCTTCGCCCCAATCAACATCATTCACCCCGTGAAGATGCGGTCATTTTTTAGAAAGTTTTAAGTACAAAACGAGCGTGTTGGTAACGGTAATTAGACATGAGGAAGATACATAGAAAGGGGGGACGGACAACGAAGACTTCCCACTAGCAACAACCTTGTTGTTGCTAGTTGTTGCTAGATGGAAGTCTTCGTTGTCCGTCCCCCCTTTCTATGTATCTTCCTCATGTCTAATTTAAGAAAGTTCTTTAAAGGAACTGATTATGGCCGACTATTTTGATCTGATATCGATCCTTCTTGTTTTGTCTGAATGTATGTTCTGTGAGAGGACTCGCAGGGACAGATAGCGGATTTGTATTGGCGGCATCGAGTGTCACGCACGATGCACAGTGTAGGCGCTCTGAGCCAACACCACCTAGACAGAAGGCCTCCGCATGGTTTCCTCTTCTTCTATGAAACGTCATCACTGTCGGATCGCGCTCGGTCGGCTATTGGACCCGAGTCCGACCTTCGACGCGCTGATTGGCCACGAGCCGCAGCCGAACACTGACGCAGCACTCGTGCCCAATCTCTCGCCTCGATCGATCTGACTATGATGACGCGTGTGGAGGCCTTCTGTCTAGGTGGTGTTGTCTGAGCTGGCCCTGTTGTGGATTGCAGAAGACCACTGGTAGTGCAAGGAAGAAAAAAAAAAGAAGAAAATTTAAGATTGGCAGAAGCACGAGAGGATGGGGACGGCAGCGCGAAACGGGGATCCGCTAATAAGCTACATGATCGGTGCTTCCCTTGACTGTACTGTACATATGTAAATACGTCGCTCAGTAAATAAGTGTTTTGTTACCGGTCAACGTTCTTGAACGACTGATTCCGCTAAGAACGTATCAGGCCCAACGGAATGCCGGCCGGGGAAGTAGAAATCTCGCATGGGGCGCCCCAGTCTCGAGATGCAGTTGGAAGCGTAATTGAAGAGACCACGTCCAATTGATGGACGAGGGTGTTGGCTGAATTGATAACTAAAAAAAAAAAAACTTCCGTTGTCCCAAGCAGCACAGATGTAATCATGGGAAAATGGCTGGAAATGGTCCTTTGGCCAGTGGCCAAACAGTGGCCCCTCATTGGCTGATCACTGGACTTTCTCTGGCCATTGTCCAATAGCCACTGGCCATCAGCCATTGGCCAAGCATTGGCCGATGAATTACCACTCTTTGGTGATTGGCTAAGAGACCATTGCCAGCCATTGGACAATGCTTGGCCAAATTCCGTGCTGCTTGGGATGCTTACCAGGATGTTACATCAGCAGTGACCACTTTTTTTTTTTTTTTTTTTTTTTTTTGTTCAGCAGTGACCACCAGCCCAATAAGGATACAGTGGTAAGAATTTCACGGCGGTAACGTGGCATATAAATGTTACCACGATTTCGGTGCCGCCTGTTAGGGGAGGAAGTAGCCGAGTAGGTTTTCACGGGAATATTTATCAACAGTAACGCGCAAAAAATTGACGCGCGACCTTCTTGAGCTGTTATTCCCTGCTCCGTTGTATAGACTTCCTTATATTTCGTGTCCGGGACAAGATGTTCTTGCCCGGGTAAAGAAAATGTGCGTCCCACCTTGTGTCAAAACCTTTTTCTTCCTCCTCCATACTGAAACGTTGCCGGTGAAGGTATGGCTTGATAGACGAGGCATTTACGTCCCATGGAGTGTAAATTGTCTACTTTGCAAACAACCGGAGACGATTGAACATGCATTCTTGTACTGCTGGGATGCAGTGTTCTTCTGGGACGTTTTGCGACGGACTTGGAAAAAGGATTTACAGGTCAATCCTTTTTCAATTCGCTTCCTCCCGGTGGAGAAGCATGAAAGCGTACCCTATGACATGTTTATGGTATTAGGATTGCATAGGCTTTGGAAGGTCTCGTATGACGGTGCGCCACGCAGAGCAGCACCCTAAGTCGGCCCACCCGTTTTTTGTCGAAATTGTTGTCCAAGTGAAAAGCGTTGTTGAACGTTTTGAAACCCCGCCGGACTGGGTCAACCTGTTAGAAGAGCTAACAGGAATGAAGAAATTTTAATGCTCCTGACTGCTCCAAGTCGGAGTACATGGGTTTTTCATATGTAATGTGCGACTTGCGCGCAATAAAGAAAAAAAAAAAAAAAGAGGAATTGGTTGAGTGGGCTAACGCGTCTCAGCTCGGAACGTGGAGCGAAAGCTTACGCAGGGAACCTCCTGGGTTCGATCACCACCACCCCCGCCCGTTTCGATCTGGATGAGTTTTGTACCGGCACGCGTTCGTGAGATTACTACTGCGTGATGTACGTTAAAAACCCCAGGTTAGCGGTTGTACTGCGCTGGATAAACCTCTCATCTAACAGCTAAGAGATCGATTCCCCGTTGAGGCGCATCCATCAAGGCTCAAACAGAGCAAACAATTTTTTTTTTCTTTTGGTGCTGTCTGTTCCAGTCTTGCTCCCCACGGCTCATCGACCCTGGGGTGGCCTACGCGGGACTCTTACCGCTCCGTGTGGCGATCTGTTGTGTCAGCTGATAGTGTCACAGGCTGTACATATGGCTTTCTCTTCTCTCTCGCCCGTCTCGCCTGAACCCGAACGGTATAACACTTCCTAGGTAAGAATTTCTCAATGCTGATTTTTCTTGCGACACTAAAAGAGGCTAACGCAGGGCTTATATTTCGTCAGCATTCGGCCGCATCTGGTGTCCAATCAGTGAGAACCCGAGTCCCAACCGAACGTTGTCCAATATGTGCTTCTGAGTCGCACTGCCCATACATCGTAGAAAAGACGCGGTGTACGCTGCAATCATGATTATTAAATCGTCTGCGCCTCAAGCATGTTCCAAGCATGCTTGCTTCATTACACATGTTAATATGACTGCAGAAATCTTTGTATGACCAAAGTTGCATGACCGAGGTACAAGCACGCCTCAGGCACTGTCTGCACACTGTCTTTTGCATGATCACCGTGGCTTTAGTGAAAAATCAGCACTCGGGCTTTCTCCCCCACGATATATTTCAGGCGGTCCGTAGTGTGCACTAAATTATAAGGCCTATAAGCCGCGTCCTCCGCACCCTGAGACGGACGTTGCTTGTCTCTTCCAGCACTGCAGTCCAAGGGGGAGCCGTGCACGGCGAACGTGGGCGGCGTCAGGTCTCCGGGCTCCTGCGTGCCCCTGACCGTGTGTCCTCCGCTGAGCGCCCTGGCGGCCAAGGGGCGCAGGCCCCGGCCGTGCGGCTTCGACGAGTCCACGCTGCTCGTGTGCTGCCCGTCCAGGGACGTGGTCCGACCGAGCACCGGTACCACCATCTCTCCTAGGATCAGGCAACCCGCGCGGCCCAGGAACGAGCCAGGTGCGGCCCCGGCGGCGCACAGCTCCAGTGTTGCCAACTGAAAAATTAAAAAAAAGAAAACGCAATAGGAATTATGAGATACCGCTAAATTTGAAGCGCAGGGCAAGGATGACGTTTTAACACAATTTACCGCTTGATTAATCTAAAGAATACAAAAAAAAGGAATTGTTAGAAAGGAGCTTTACCGCCGAATTCAGAAACCTCACTCAAACTACACTCAAACTGAAGGGCCCCTCCACTTCCTCGAGGAAGGCGCCAGGGCCAGCGTTAGCCAATCGCGACGGCGGATCCGTCCTCGCGATTGGCCAGTGCCGGCCCTCGCGCCTTCCTCGAGGAACAAGGAGGGGCCCTTCAGTTTGAGTGTAGTTTGAGTGAGGTTTCCGAATTCGGCGGTTAGAGTCATATATCCCTTCCATGTACAAAACGGTGTCACCTGCAGGATCTTACTGTTACCTGGTGTTACTATGTGGGTCGTCTTGCCATACCTGCCGACGTACGCATCTATTATTTCGATCTTTAGTGCATCATTTGGTGAAAGCTAAAGCTTCAGAGACCAAATTTACACGCTTTGAAAAGAGTTATATTTTCCAGTAGAGGCACCTGACTCGTCTGACGTCGCTTGGAATTTTCAGTGTCCAGTGTCGATGTTTAGAGACCTATAGACCAACTCAACTTTCTGACGTCAGGCCATTGCTCTGGCGCTGTTGTCGGCACGGCGCATGCGCACTGCCCAAAACCGGTCTGGGCAAACGCGGGCTTGTTCAAAGACTGTTTTGGACGTACGATCGGCTCTGTGTGTTTCGCGTTATTGTGCACAGTTCATTGGGCCCATTTCGTCTAACTTCGGAAACGAATTCATATTACATTCAAACACAAACCAGCCGAAAATACTTTTTAATTTTTTGCACTGTAAAATATCACTCACAAAACCTTTGTTGAGAGTATGTGAATATGACGATCCTATGACTTTAGCTCAAAAAAAAAAAAAAGCTATTATGATCTTCCCAACATGCTTCGACGTCTTAGGCCAATCCGAATAGACAGAGCCGTATTGTAAAATTTTGCAACTGCTGCCTTTTGGCGCCGCCATATTGAGGCTTGCGTGCTTGGAAAGACGTGCTCAGCTGACACCTTAATTACAGCGCCGGGAACACGTCTTTGTCTGGTGTGTTAAGCGTCCTATTTTGCCCATGCATGAAAAATGGTCCCGAAATTGCAAGAAACGACGTCTCAAAAGCCGGTATTCACATCAAACACACACACACACGCAGACACACATTAAGGACATCTCTGTATAAGTTGGCACTGAACCCACTGTGATTTGAAGTCGGATTCTTTTTCCCCCCATAGAAACTTTGCCTCCCAGGCTGTTCCTCTTCCAGTGTTGAGATTCGATTGACAGTCGTCGCAATGCCATATACAAGCCCATCTTCAGGCCTACACAGCCCAAATGCTGTCCCGTGTACAGTCTCACAAATGTATTCCCGTACAGAGTGCGGCTATAGGACTAACAGAGTTCATTAATTTCGTTAAAGTATTAATTATCGCGATTATCTTGCTGACCCCCAGCCTCTGGTTCTGGCTTTTTAGCGTTTTTGCGTTCAGCAAGTCACTCGGAGGTGAGCTTATAAGCTAATGTGCAGACGACAAACAGTATAGGACATAGGGAATGAACTGCTTCCAATTTCGTTTTATTTTTCATATTTCACTACTTCAGGATTGAGCTCTAAAATACTTATGGCGAAACTGCGTTCGCGTGCACAATTTCAGGCGTGTACATTTGGAATTCAAATTCTGCAGGGCGTGCCAAATGTGTTAGTCCTTACAGCAGCGCCCTGCATACTGCCTATCATTCATCTATTCCTAGCCAGATGAGGCCGTGAGCGTTACGGAGGTTACCACGTCTCAATGGTCCCAAACTTGCGATGGCAAAGCCTTCATCGTTTTTGCCAATGATGGAGCGTGGCCATTAGTAGGCGATACTACTGACCTTTTCCATTGGCTAAGGTAATCAGAGAGAGAGAGAGAGAGAACGACTTGCATTGATGTGAAGCGTGCATTCAGGCATATTTGTAAGTGAGGCCACAGCCGCACATTCCCACTTTTGTCGGCACATCAAAAATCGGTTGCGATAAGGATTAGTCAAAGTAAGGCAGAATTTAATCAAACGATAAATGTACTAAGCACATTAAAAAGTTGATGCATTGCTTGAAAGTACATTATTTTGGGGGTCTTACGAGGCCAAATGACCATCCTGGATTGAATATAATTTCTTTTTTGACAACGACGTCAGTAGTTCTGGAGCCTGCGTTCGCCTGTCTTGAGTGACACGTACTTGGTCAGTGGTGCCAATGCGTTTTACTTATCTCGCAGTGAAAAACGATCGGTTTGCCAGGAAATCAAAACGAGTATCGTGTTCGCTAGTCCGAATTTGGGAAATATCAACAAACTCAATAATAAACGACCTACTCAAATAAGTAGCAGCAAGCAATTTGACTACTTGTAATGAGTCTTGTCTTTCCCGACAACATAACCCCCTTGAGCAATTTATGACAGTACAACTGGAGCAAAGAGTTTGTTCGAGCATGCCGCTAGTATTGTCACGTTCACCTCCATTGTTATTTCTTCTTAGTGAACTTCCCTTTTCTGTTTTCCAGGTTGCGGCACGGTAGTCGACGACGCCGGAGAGATCGGGACGGGACCCAGAGGGGAAGTTCTGCTCGCAAGATCACCTTGGCCCTGGATGGTGAGTGTATCCGTTAAATTAACACCTCTCAAAAACAAGACCGCAGGTCTAAAATTCCAAAGTCACCGGCCCGACTTCAGTCCATGGCACAGTTTAAAGACGAGTACTGTGTCAGTTTGCCTCGCGCTGGCCTCCGTTCGGTAACGTAGAAAGTTCAGCACTAAGACTTTAGTGCTGAACGAGAGTGAGAGAGAGAGAGAAAATTCTTCAACCCACGTCCGGGTCCGCGTTCTTTTGAGAGCAGGTCAAGGGTCCTTCCTCAAGATAGTGAGCGGGTGGTGAAGGAGGCTGGTCCATGAGGGGGTCGTTATGCCCTGGTGGGAAACCCAGGACTTTCATGTGTTTATGCTCCGACAGCTCCAGTTCCTGTGGGGAAGTGTGGGTAGGAAGCTGCGAATTCGGCAAGGGGGGGGGGGGGGGGGGGGTCTTTTGTATGTTGTGCAAGATTAAGCCATTGACTAGTGCGTGGCTTTGTGCCTATCAGAAGCGCGGTGTGCTTTCTCAGCATAAACTCAGAGGTGGTCTGGGTAGTTCTTTGCGGTTTATTGGGAGTGCTTTTAGGGAAACCTTTCGTTACCGATAGCGCTTTGTCCGGTCCGCTGCTGGAAGGTCATAGTGAGAAGGTGTCTGTTAATGTCGGAAGGAAATGAGCTGTGAGGAGGGTTTCCAGGTTTTAGATTCAAGAGGAGCAGTGAATGTGAAGAGGAGCGGACGCTAAGCACAGTTAGGCTTCCGCTTCTGAATAAATAATTGCCGCGAGCTTAGAGGGGTCACTTATGAGAGAGAGATTTTGAGTCACGTAGAACAACAGCACGCAAGAATGCGCGGAACGCTTGAGAGATGCAAAGAAAAAGAGAGAGAGAAAAAAAAAGAAAAGGAATGTCATCGTAAAATTCTGAATGATCACTCACCTAGCTGGGATGCTGGAGCGGAGTTTAGTTTATCAAAATTGGATCTTGCAGAATGACAGTGCATTTTTTTTTAGAACAGCGTTAACCCAAAGAACCTTCTTTCCTGTACCTCAGGTGGCCATCTTTGAGGGCCGCAACTACATCTGCGGAGGAACCCTGCTGGACAGGGACACGGTGCTCACGGCTGCTCATTGCTTTAGAGGAACTGAACCAGTGTAAGCATGACATTACTTAGCTTTTGTGTTTTCCTCCGGGGGAAAATTAATTCTTCTCTCTGGGCAGCTTTACCTGCTATAGTTCCGGACGCGTATTCGGAAAAGCCTGTGAAGTAAGTCAACGAGCTCATTTCGGTTCTTTGATTAGCGCGTTTTGACATACGCCACATCCCTTGGTTTACGGGGGAGAAAGAGGAGGGGGTGAGGCTTAGGTAAAGACACTTCAGCTATTCACGCCATAGCCTTTAGCCGGCACCCAGATGTGCTTTCGAGATATGTGTGAGCATATCGGATACTTATTCTAGAAAGGGACGGGACTAATACCCGCACGACACGGGCAACTCGAATGCCATTTACAACGAATGACATTTGAGCGGACGGCCCATCAGCGCGCAACACTCCGGCCGTAGCGCATTCCATGCGCCACAGATTGCGAGCTAATTCGCCGATCACACAAATGTCATTCGTTGAAAATGGCGTTCGAGTTGCCCTTGGGGCACGGGTATTAGTCAGGCATCTCAGCCGACTTTAACCCAACCTCCTGAACGTTCGTCGAAATAATTTCGGAATTTTTGTAATTTTTTGTTAATCATGCATAATGAGTCATGCGGCTTAAAACGTTTGGTTGATTTCGCCGGGGTGAATTATTACCAGACATACGCGTCTCCGTACGCTCTTGGCGGCAATAGCACGCGGCGGTCTTTTGACATAGAAATTCCGCTTGTTGGACATTTGAGAGATCCTTGCAGAGAAAACTAAAACAAAGATTTAGACTTACCTTAATCATTTGCGTGGAGTTGAGAAACGCGGAATACTACGTGAGTGTCTTAGATTCTGACTTTTTGGCACTTTGAAACTTTCAATGTGCGAGGTGTGTTCAATCCGTTTGGCAACCTGTACTGTAGTTTTTTATTCAGTGATAAAATTGAAAGTCGTAACATTCAAGTGAAAGTTTGGAATCTGCCATTCTTAGGAGTACATAACTTATTGAAATGGTCCCCAAGGGCGGTGATGCCTTTCCGCCAACGGTGCACTAGTCTCTGCAGGCCGTCGTAGGGCAATAAGGGCTGCTGTTGACGACACCAACGGCACACTCCATCGGTGATCTCTTCTTCGGACGCGAATAACGCACATGTAATATGTCGCTTCATCCTGGCAAACAGCCAGAAGTATGATGGTGCGAGGTCTTGGCAGGAAGGTGTGTAACACAAAAAAGGACGAAAGAGCAGCTCCTCGAGCTCCACGTTGGTCTCGTCAACAGCCGTTCTCACTGTTCGACGACGACATGCAGAGGCTCTACTCCTTTCACCCTTAAGCTAAGACTAGAAGATCCGTCTTCAGCGCGAGCTGGCTGGCTTCCGCAGTGTTTTGATTGCGCGCGTCTGCGCGTTCACAGGTGCCTTAGCAAGGGCAGAAAGCTCGCCCTGAAGGGGGAGCTTCTAGTCTTAGCTTAAGGGTGAATGGTGTACAGTGTTCCAGTGAGGGAAGTGCATCGCCAGTAGTGGGAACTGTAAAGGCCTGTTCACACATACATCACAGCGCTATAGACAACTGCAAGCATGGCACCGCGACTGGCGCCCCATATGCGCAAGCATGTGCAGCTTGCGCATGAACATAGCTTCGGCAAGCTTGCAATTGCACGGGTTGTCCGCTCGAGCAGAGATGTGGCGGTGACTAGCGGCGGCCAGTCGTCTCGCTTGCAATCGCCTGTAAGCACAGCGCTGACTTTGCGCCAAACGCGCGCTGACGGGACCGTTCACCAAGCTTGTATCGCACCGCCAAAACTGTTACTCATGGTAGACGATAAGCAACTGAAGACACGTCAACAGCGAAGCATCAGAGCGTCTCTGCATGGGAGAACCGGCCTTTAAAGTGAAACAAAGTACACGCGCAAGATTACAGCCCGTGTTACAGCCTCAACAGACCGATCTCGCCAAGCTTTGGTCGCATCCATGACGCCGCATTAACTTTAGTTCGTAGTAGTGCCACTAAATAAGCTGCGCTTGTTCGCAGGAGACAAGCAGCAGTGCACGAGACGGCTCCTGCCGCCTCATGCTCTGCATGTGCAGAGCTCCTGCCAGGTTTTCGCACGTGCAGAAAGTCTAAAGTTCCCTCCATGAATTGCGTCAGCGGTGGCGTAACCATACTGGCTGGTGAGATCGGTCTATTGCTGGCCTTTCCTTGTCTTACCGAGAAACCAAGCCACTGAGGAAAGCTTCGACGAGTCACCACAAAGGCTAATGCTCGGGAGAAGGACCCAGTTGAATCTAAAATGGAAATAACCTGTCCTGCCGCTGCCATGATGAAGCGAAGTGATCAAAATAAGAGGACACAAATACTGAAGGTCGGTTCTGGCGGCGCCCTAGCACAGCTGCGCTGCTCAGCACACGCTGATGGCGGGCTTCTAGAGTGCTTTCGCACCGCGCATTTCACACCATTATTATCCGGTCCCGAGAACCCATAAGCGTGAGCTAGTTCTGAGCATACCCATGGAACAGTGCATTCAAATATGGCGTCCAGTGAATACTTCCTATAGTTGCGCCTCTGCCTTTCTCTTCGCATAGTCCCAGTGACTACAAGGTGCGACTCGGCGTGCTAGAAACCAACGAGACGGCGAGCTCTCACAGCGCCACGCTTACCGTCAAGTGGATCCGCGTGCACAAGGAATACCGGGTGGACCGGCACTACAAGGACATCGCCATCATGCGGTTGGGCGGCAAGGTGACCTACGGCACGCACATCGGCCCGGCATGCCTGCCGCAGCCGGACCTCAAGCTCGGAGGACAGGTCGTGATCATCGGCTGGGGACACACCGAGTTCGGTGAGCGATTCGGCCAGTCCTAAAAAGCCTACACTTTAAAACATCTGGTGCGTCTATTTTCCTGCAGAGTACTTAGGGGAACCAATTGCTGCCATATGCGGGGGGAGCGCAGCGAATGGCAAAATTCGTAATAGATTTAGACCTAAAAAAGAAACAGTGTGCGCCCTTGATCATGGTTAAATGTCATGCTCTGGTTTCATAATTTATTTTAACTCAAAGGCGCGTATTAGGTGCATGCATTACATGACAGTGAAAACAAGAAATTTGGAGAAGTCATGTAATTTACATTATCTGCAATGACATGTACATCCATCTAAACGAAATATATCTAGTAAAATTTTTTTCATATATTGTATATATACATAGGTATATACAATAAAGTTCAGAAGTGAACAGTGGATACTGAAAATATAACGACGTCAAGTATGAAACATGAAACGCTGAAGATGAATAGCTAAATATGTTTCACAATTCAGTGCATCACAAGCATATAAAAAGCAATGGTTATAAAGCCACCAAGGAAACGTCAAGTTAAGAAAGAAGCTCTTAACGACTTAGGTTGAACAACACCAAATCTGAAAGAGTTACAATATGTTCAGAGACTATCCTAGACCTTTTTGGATAGAGCCAGGGGAGAAAGCGAAAACAAGTTAGTTCGTGATTTAATTGGTTAGACTTTTCATGGATGATCAATCCTGGCAGATGTGAACAAAGCAGGTATAAACTAATTTTATATAAAAAAAAAATCGCCGTAATAAATCTCACGAAAAAAGCACAAGCGTGCAATTTTTCGTCGAATTTCCAAAGAAATTAGTCGCACGTTTTTGAAAAGTAAGAAATCGAAGCGCAGACTGAATTTCTAGGCGTAAGCATATTTTCAAGCCTGTCATTGGCCGAGATTCCTCCGTAAATGTCACCGATCTGCTCTCCCAAGTACTTTGTAGGAGAGTAGGCGCTCCATATTTCATAGAATGCAGATTTAAGAGATGGAGCAACTCAAACCATGGAAAGCTTTCACGATGGAATGGCTGACACCTCTTTCCCAGATTGGTTACCTCACGCGGTAAGCGTGCATTTCCGCGTAGCGAAAGAACGGGAGCAGACGGAGAGGCAAAGCCAAGCTTGGAGACGCCTTTGCCTCCTCGTCTGAAATGATATTGCAATCGCGGACAATAAACCACGTGATCTCGATCGAATATTTGAGAAGACTCTGAAATCTCAAAATGCTAACGATTCTGAAAAAAAAAAAAAAAAATCTAAAGCGCGTTTTACATTTTTTTAAGTCACTTACTTGTGGTGGCTAGTTTTATCCCTACAGCAAAACCTTAGGATAAAGGTGCGAAAGTAAATCAAGGAGATAATTGCTTCCATTAGCTCACTAGCACTTGTGGGATTTCCCTTGCTGCTACCCGTCTCGGAGAATGACACAGCACACCGGTTCAACAACACGTAAACATTTAATGACCGCTATCGCCTGCGCCGCGATCCCAACAGCCCCCGCGCATCCGCTGCGACGGCCTTTTATCAGCGGCGGAGCGCCGCTCGCGTGGCCAGTTGCCCTTGGCCCCCTCGTGGCCAAGATGACCACTTATGATTGTCGGAGGGGCAACCTGGGCCAACCGCTTGGAATCGCCAGGTTGCCCACACATCTCCCCCCTTCCAAAAACGAAAACAGAGGACGTCTTTGATGGTCTTCGGGGGGGGGGGGCCTTCCTTCTTGGTCAGCAAGGGTCTTCTCAGATGAGCGAGCACGGGTCCGACGTCAGTACTTCCGGACAGTACCGATGCAGCCATGGGGGGTGGTCTGATGATGGGAGCTGCGTCGCCGCTGTCTGGCACGAGGAACTAGAAATTAAAAACAACATGAGGCTATGGCGCGGTAGGAAAAAGTAGCCGCGCACACGAAAGATGCCTGTCCCACTGTGCATGCGGGAGCGCGGACCATTTCTCTTCTCCCCCCCCAAGACTCCGAAGAGGGCATGAAGATAATACGCTTAGAACTCGTGCTACTCCCGGTCGTCTTCACCGCCGTCTCAAGTTGTACCGCGGTAGAGACGGTGTGGAATCTTCCGAGAGGTGGTCCGGATAGTCGTCATCTGGAACCTGCGACACATCTACCTCCTCGGGTTCATAGAAAGCTTTTAGGTCGTCGACATGAATAGACCCGCACACTTCACCAGATTCACAATGCACCAGCTCATAAGACAGGTTGGAGAGCTTGCTACTAACACGGTAGGGGCCATCCCACCTCTTTGCTAAAGAGGCCGTGAAGCCTCTAGCAGCATCACTCAGCGGATGAGTTCGCCTCAGTACCAGATCTCCTACCTTGAACTGCAGATTTCGCCTCCCCTTGTTGTACTGGTTTGCCTGCTGCAGTCTCGAGACGTCGAGGCTCTCTCGAGCTTCACGCAGGTTCTCCGTGAAACGCTTCCGGAGATCTTCTGCGAACTGCGTGGTTGTGCGCTGCGTGCTTGCAGGATCTGTGCAAAGGAGGCCGTTTCCCAGGGGAAACACGAGCTCTTTTCCAAAGTTAAGTTGGGCCGGAGTAAAACCCGTGGACCGGTTGATTGTTGTGCGGGTAGCGAATGCCATTTCTGCTAATTTCGCGTCCCAGTCTTTGTGTCGCTCTGTATGCGATACAAGCATCTGCTTCAGGTTACGGTTCACTCTTTCCGTGATATTCGCCTGTGGATGGTATGGCGAAGTCCGTTTGTGCCGTATGCCTAGCGCCTTACACGCATCCACGAACACCTTGCTAACAAAATAAGAAGCGTTGTCTGTAATAAGCGTTGCGGCAAAGCCAAAGCGCGCGAACGTCTCGAGAAGACAGTCCCAAATTTTCTTAGAGTCTAGTTTGCGCAAAGGAAACATTTCGACCCATTTTGTGAAATGGTCGGTCACTACTAGCAAATACTGATTGCCGCGTGGACTACGGGGAAAGGGACCGACAACGTCGCAGGCAACACACTCCCAGGGGTACTTGCTTTCGACCGACTGCATTAAACCTGGTGGTTGGCCACCTCGGGGTTTTGCCTTCTGACAAACCGGGCAGCTACGAGCGTACCTCATCACATCCTGCCTCATACCTGGCCACGTTGCAATTTGGGACAACTTTTCGTAAGTTTTGCTCCCACTGCTGTGGCCTGCCAAGGCGGGATCATGCATATATCTTATAAATGACTTACGCAGTTTACGTGGTATTACAGACCGGAATGGCGGGCCGCTGGACCCATCGTCCGCCTGGGGGATGTATCGCAGCAGGATGCCGTCGCTGCTGAGCAGGTATGAGTCCAAGTCTCTGGGATTCCCAGCGTCGGCTGAGTTTTCTTCTGCCAGCTGGTGCATCACCTTCTGACAAAGTCCATCGGACAGCTGGGCCGCTCGGAGCTCCTCTCTGCTCACCAGGGTTCCCCACCGCGACTCTGGTGTGATGGGCGCCGCATTGGCCAGTGCCACCAAGTCGGGATCCACCTGCATTTCCTGCCCGAGAAGTGGAGCACGGGACAACGCATCTGCAACGTGGTTAGCCACTCCACGCTTGTACTCGATTGTGTATTTGTAGCGCTGGAGCGAAAGGGCCCATCGAGCGAGTCGTCCTGCAGGGTTTTGAAGCCCTTTGAGCCACGAGAGAGCCATGTGGTCAGTTTGAATGCTAAACGAAGCGCCGTCAAGGTACATGTCAAACTTCTTAAGCGCAAAAATAATTGCCAGGCACTCTTTTTCGGTTGTTGAGTAGTTTCGCTCCGCTCCGGTTAACGTATGACTGGCGAAAGCTACGGGACGAAGAACGCTGTCATGTTCCTGCAGAAGGACTGCTCCTAATCCGTAATCGCTTGCGTCGGTCTGCAAGACGAACGGACGATTCAAGTCGGGCAGGTTCAAACACGCGTTTTCAGTCACAGCCCTTGAAAGACACGCGAATGCGGTTTGCTGCTCTTGCCCCCAGCCCCATTTCGTTTTTTTGCGGAGCAATCGGTTCAGGGGTTCAGTTATCTCAGCGCATTGCGGAATAAAATCTCTATAAAACGCAATCATCCCGAGATATCTCTGTAGGCTTTTGACGTCATAAGGGGGTGGGTACTCCGTTATTGCGCGCAGCTTATCTTCATTCGGCCGCAGCGTTCCGTTATCCACAACAAATCCGAGAAGGTTGATTACAGGCGATGCCAACTGGACTTTATCTGGATGAATCGTAAGGCCGGCTTGACGCATTCGTTCGAGTATGATCTGAAGGTGCACGAGATGCTCCTCGAATGTTCGTGAAAAGACCACTACGTCATCCATGTACGCCATCGCAAACTCGTACTTCGCGTCACCGAGGACAACGTCCATTAGGCGTTGAAAGCTGGCGGGAGAGTTGGACAAACCAAAGGGAAGGCGAGTGAATTCGAACAACCCCCTATGGCAAATGAATGCGGTCTTCTTTACATCAGCCGGATGAACTTCGATTTGAAGAAGTCCGCGGCTGCAATCGAGGGTTGTGAAAACAGTCGCGTTTCCAAGGGCATACATTACTGAGGAAATACTAGGAAACGGGTAACTGTCTCTGACTGACACTTCATTTAGGCGCCTGTAATCAACACAAAGCCTTGCTGTGCCGTCCTTCTTTGGAGCAAGGACTACCGGGGAAGCCCACGGGCTTTTTGACTGACGTACTGCGCCTGTGTCGATCATTTCCAATAGCGCCGCATCAAGAAGTTCGCGCTTGTGAGCACTTATGGGTCTCGGATTGCACCTCCGGGGAGGTGCATCCTTGGTTTCGATGCGGTGCTGTAGGAGATCGGTTTTCCCAGGTCTTTCCGTGAACATCGGCGAGAAGGGTTCCAGCAGTTGCTGGAGCTGCTTCTGTTTGTCTTCACCGGAACACTTTTGCACGGCTTTGAGCACGCTGTCTGGAAGTAAAGGCATCTGCCCGGCAAAGTTTAACGGGAACGCTTGGCCGCGAATACAATCCTGCCGTCTGGTAAACGGCGTTAATTTCGTTTCGCCACCCAACCAAT